AAATGGAGAAAATTATATTAAATAATAAAAAAATACAAAAGAAATCTCCATCACGGACATATAGCCTAAAGTATTATAACCTAAAAATAAAATCAGAACCAGAACCTATAGCATTAGTAGCACATTTAAACGATGCCCATAATGAATATAGACAATTAAGTAAAGAAAGCCATCTACAACTAAAGTTTACAAATGCAATCGCTATATGGGTTAAATAGAGCTACAAATATAGAAAAGAGAGTCACTATGAGCATCAAAACTATTGGACTTTCTCACATATTTAACCAATTTCATGGGAAGAGCAGGGATTCTGACAACAAATAGTCCCCAACCTGCATGTTGCCACCCTATCAAAAAATTACCCAACAAAAGGAAGGGTAAGAACCCCCTCAGCATAAGCATGTGTCTCTACTTTACCAATCCTCCTCAATCCCTTGTTGCCCAAACTGTGGAAGGGAACTAGAGCCCCTTGCAAAACATAATTAGCTTCACCAATGGCATCCTGTTCCTCTTGGCCAAGTCTCTAAACAAACACAAGCCTTCCTAATCTCTACCGAATACTTCCAATCATGTGCCCATCATTCTCGATGCCCTGAAAACCCTTGCTAGCAAAGCTTGTGAAGGGAACTAGAGCCTTTTTGCCAATGTGAGCAGCATGCTTCCCAGGCAAATCAAAACCCACAGCGCCAACAATAGCCATGTCCTTCGGTATTTAGCTACCAGATCGGAAATTGGAGTGTGCTAGTTTCTTCGAATGCAATCCCTACTAAGATCTCATCTGAGAAGACATGCCTAAGTGAGAATCTGACTCAGTGAATGGGAGAAATCCAACCACCAGCAAGATTAAGTCCCTTGATATCCAGACACGGTCATAAAAAATCAACAGCCGATGTTGATCGAAAGGAGTCACTGCCTTGTGGTCCCTTGGGTTAAAGTTTCCAAAGCAAGACAGACAACGAGGATGAAGGAAGAGAGCAAGAGGAGAAACCCTTGCCAGAGAAGAAGAGGAAGAGGGAGGAACTCCTAATAAGAGAAAGACACTAAGGAGAAACTCGTCGCCGCCACCCCCAACCCTAGGCAGAGCATGGGAGAAAAAAAGATTTTAATTATATTTAATAATTAAGTTAAAATAAAAATTTGAGAATTTATATTATTATAAAAAATTCAAGTGTAGCGCTAACCACGGGCAGTTACTAACATTTGAATTAGATTTGTTTGGAAGGAAGAAAACAATAGCCAAGTTCCTTGGAAAAATTCTTTTATGGTGTATCTATCACACTTTCATTTTTAATTTAATGAAGAATCTAAATTGTCTTAATTTAGTGGAAATGCTCTGCTTAAGTTCTCTTAAGTATACCGAAAGATTACTTATCTCCATAGTCATTTTGAAAAATATCATATATCTCCTTGTCGAAAATTTTAAACTTTTTCTTCATTTTTTTTTTAAATCCCCTTTTCATTTTTTTTTAAATTCCCTTTTCAATTTAAACATTCTTCCTTCATGCTTGCTGTTTTCCTTTTGTTTCCTACGTTCCATTGCCCCCAATTTTTCTCCTCCATCTCCATGAACTTTATCGTCTTTTATGCCAACTACAAAATTCTGTCATACTTGTGTTTATTGATTCTTAATATGGGGTTTGAATATTGTTTAGAGATATATGGAACTTAATTGATTTCTTATTCTGCAATATCTTTCTTTCAGTTGCTTAATTACTTATTGAAATTATTCTTTGATATCTATACCCACTCAATATAATTCTATCACTTCACTTTTCAC